TTTCGAAATTAAATGAATACTTTAAGACATTAAAAAAACCACTACAACAAACATGAAAAAAAAGAAGAAAAAAACCACCATAAAGAACACGAAAAAAACATACACACACAAAATAGAAAGAAAAAGGAAAAGAAAGCAGAAGCTTAAGCAAAAACAAATAAAGAAAAAATGGAACAAAACCAGCAAAAAGTCAAGGGCACAAAGAAAGCTGAAAAAAGAGAAAAAAAACCTAAAAAGATTACTCCGGAGAAAGAAAGTTGCGTCAAATCTGGGAGAATCGCACAGGGGAGCTACGTTTCGTCCGGCTGGAGGCGAAGCAGAGGAGGGGCAGATATGGAAAATGTTGGATTGCGAAGCGATGACCTTGGTTGATCGCGGAAAACGCGGTAGCCAAATTTACACTGTTATGAGGTGTTAAGAGGTAAGGTTACCTCCATTCACCTCCTCTTATCTAATTCATTTTTTTCTCCCAAACAATGTAGGGTGTAAATCTAACCTCAGCCTACCTCCCCCTACCTCACAAACCAAACACACTGTTAAGAAGGTGATGTTCCATTATATTGCCTGTCAATGTCATTAGATAACTCGGGGTATTTCGGTGCCCGTTCGTAAAATTGATGATTTCTAACCCCCGTTCGTAAAATTGATCGTTCGTAAAATTGATGATACTCGGGGTATTTAGATACAAATATAATAGTGTCGATTATTTTGAAAATGTTAAACAAGTCCTTAATTAAAGATCAAAATTCGTCCAATTCGACTAATAAAAAAAGATATCACCCTACGTAGCACTCTAACTCATCTAATACTACGCATTTAGCACTGCTTATTGTTTTTTACCAAATTAGCTATTTATGTTGTCAATCTCTTCCAATCATACCCTTGTTGTCAATCTCTTTTATCTATCCCACTATCAATTGTTTCAATTTCTCTTTCAACTCTTATATGAAATTCGGACTCACATAATGTATACTTTGTGCATAGTGGCATAGTACTCTTTTTATCAAATTATTTCTTCAATCAATTAAATGTAGTTTTGAATAAATATATATAATAAAAATACGATATATCAAAATTATATCATAAAAATATGCCAATTATAAATGCTTCCTTCATCCCAAAATAGGGCTCTTATTCGATTTACGATGTTTGATTTAAGTTATTTTCAAATCAATATAAGTAAAAATTGGTGTATAATTAAAAAAAATAGGAATTATATATTAAAAACTACATAAAAAATTCTATAAACAAGTGGTGACACTGGGACTTACATATAAAACTACCAATGTTATAAATTATTATTTGACTTTCATATTGTGCAAACAGCTTGTGGTTGATTTTATGACAATAGGGTTTTACAATGAAAGAGATTGTTATGAAATGTGTTACTCAATATGGAGGCTATAAATATATGGGCAGTACAGATTGATCATGTTCTGCAAACACTTTCTGGCAGTGAATTTTTCTTATATATATAATGTGGCAGACAAGAGTGAAAATATGGCAGTGTATAAAAGTTCGTGGCCCAAACAAATTTGTATGTACTTCATTAATATCCATTAATAATATGGCAGTGAAATCAGACATACATATAAAACTGCCAATGTTATGAATTATGAATTGAGTTTCATATTGTGCAAAAGCCATGTGCTTCGTTCTATGACTATTGGATTTGAACATTCAAGAGTTCGTTATGGAAACGTGTTACTGAATAGGGGATGATATTTTTTTGACAGTGTGGAATAATCCACTTCTAGCTACACTTTTTGGAAATGTCCAATGACCATGTTTGCCTAGTGTGTTTTGGTCAAATAGGATTTATATCTAAAAATCCCAATGTAATAAATTGTTCATTGAGTTCTATTGGAAGCGGATACAAAAAATCACAAAAATGACTAGTGCTTGAATAACTTTAAAAAACAAAGTATGAAGTGTAAGCTCAAAGATTTTTGACAGTGTGGAATGCTTGTGATCTAGGTATACTTTTTGGCAGTGTGTTATGTCATATGTTTTGGCCAGTGTGCTATGTTGCACAATTCTACATAATGTTGCAGTGTATGCTGCTTACAAAGTCTTAAAATTTAAAACATAATACCTTCATCATCCATTTCTTTTCAGTACCACATAAATGAAATTCAGCATATGTCTAATATTAACATCTTCTAACATTATACAAAATCAAGAAAGACCAAAAAAAGCCAAGTCCATGTTTGGCCAGTGTGTTTTGGTGTAATAGATTATTCATGAAATCAGTCATACATTTTTAGGCAGTGTGAAATTCATAAATGAAAAAATCATATACATTTTTGGCAGTGTGGAATTCATACATGGAAACAGTGTGGAATTTATACATAAAAAGAGCTATACATTTTTTGGGCAGTGTGAAATTCATACATGAAAATAATCATACACTTTTGGACAGTGTAAAATTTATACATGAAATCACTGCCACATAAATCAATGGACATTACACTACAACATGAAATTAAGGAACACAATAATACATTTACACACTGCCGTAAAATATAACAACATATGTCCATTCTACACTGCCACATTAAAAACTCACATATAAAAACCACACTGCCCACTACACAATTACGAGTGAACAACCACACTGCCCAAAATAATCATATTTTTTGGCAGTGCATAATGAACATTTCCTGTTTAATTGAAGGACAAAATCGGAATCACAGGTACGAAACATATAGCACTGCTATTTAGAGTATTTTAATGCTCTTAGAGTGCTATTTTGGTTTTTCTCCCTAATAAAAATCGATTTGAACCAACAACTAGAGACGAAGGTGAAAAAAATAGAATGCAATATACTCCGTATGATGGGTATATCCTTATACCCGACCCGGATAACCGAAAGGGACAGGTCAAAACATGACCGGTCACTTTTATCAAGTCACCAAATGATGTTAACTCTTCGATTGGGACGGGTCAAAAATTGACCGGTCACTTCCACTAAAAAAGTGACCGGTCACATTTTGGGCGATAGCCATTTCGCCACTTAATGTTGCGAAGGATATTCCAGAGGACCAAAGAGATGGGTTGAACTCAAGAAATGACCGGGTAACCTTTGAGGAAAGGTGACCGGTCATGTTGCGCTACTTGAGAAGGGCAATCAACATCAGAGGCTAGAGGACACCCCGCCGCTCATCCATCACGAGGCAAACAGTGAAGGGAATGATTGGCGTTTTGCAGGATTGATTGGATTGAGAATATCCATGTTA